TGCCCACCATTTTTGTTCTGATTCTCGCAAAAACTGCAGACCCCTATATGAAAGGCAGGGCTAAGTCATTGTCATTGGAATCAGTCGACACAAGTGTAGACGGACGTATGCTATACAACACTCAGTAGCAACATTGCAACAATAATAACGTAAATACTTCGTCTAATGCAGGAAAGTAAGATACCAAAGAAACTTACAAGAGCTAGGCCCAGGGACCTTATAGGTCACCTGAGTATCATGTAACAACTTTCAACTATTGAATTTGATTCGTGTTTTAAACCAGAGGTCACAAAATCGAAAAAGGACACAGAATTGCTTATCATAACGTTGAACTTTACATGCTTCCTTTGGTTACTTAATACCCAGAGGTACATCAGAATAACAAAGAGAAAATGCATTTCCATTTTATAACCAGTTGTGCAAACCATCCTTCAGGAACCACTGATCACATATTTCAAAATTTTTGAAAATTTTATCATAAATTTTTATTTTATCATAAATTGTTTATTGATACCAAAGGGCAAATTTCAAAGCATTAATTTATTTTCAGACTATCATCGCTTGTGTTCCCTGCATTTTTCAAAAGAAAAAGATCCTGGGAGAAAAACTAAATTCGAGCGGGGTGATAGGGAGCCAAAATTCGTCTACAACACGATGCAGATCTAGATTATCCTATTCCTCAGGTCCAATCAAATCACTATATATAGCTATATACTTCATAAAACCTATTGCAAACAATATTTCGACATAGCATTAGATATCTCGTGCGTTTCTTTGGCGGAGGTAGAAACGCGGGCAATTTTCAACATCATGCCAAAATGGTAAGATATTTTCTTTCCTTAAACTTTCTTTCCTTTCCTCTTTCGTACAATTAATTTAAAAAATGAAAATAAATTACACATATGTTTCATAATATACATTTCATTTAACTTATGGGCAAAGGAACTTCACACTACCACAAAGCCAGATGTCCTTGTGGTAATTAAACGCACAAGTGGCAAGAGCAGTCATTGTTGCACTCCGTATTTTTAAGAGGTAAAATAATAAAAACAAGAGGCCCATGGGCCACATCGCTCACCTGAGCACTGTGGTTAGGTAAAAGTATACATTGGTTTATTATTGAAAAGGTAAAATCCAAAAGTAGTCCCATAAACAATCATGGATTTTCTATCTTTGAGAAGATGATTTTTAAAGAATTTTTCTATATATTTCTATGTAAAACTTTGGTCAGCCATTATGGCCCCGCCCTACCCCCGGGGGTCATGATTTGAACAAACTTGAATCTACACTACCTGAGGATGCTTCCATATAAATATGATTAATTATGGCTTGGTCATTCTTGAGAAGAAGATTTTTAAAGAATTTTTCCTATATATTTCTATGTAAAACTTTGGTCAGCCATTTTGGCCCCGCCCTACCCCCGGGGGTCATGATTTGAACAAACTTGAATCTACACTACCTGAGGATGCTTCCATATAAATATGATGAATTACGGCTTTGTCATTCTTGAGAAGAATATTTTTAAAGAATTTTCCTATATATTTCCATGTAAAACTTTGGTCGGCCATTTTGGCCCCGCCCTACCCCCGGGGGTCATGATTTGAACAAACTTGAATCTACACTACCTGAGGATGCTTCCATATAAATATGATGAATTACAGAATTTTCCTATATATTTCTATGTAAAACTTTGGTCGGCCATTTTGGCCCCGCCCTACCCCCGGGGGTCATGATTTGAACAAACTTGAATCTACACTACCTGAGGATGCATCCATATAAATATGATGAATTAGGCTTGGTCATGCTTGAGAAGAAGATTTTAAAAGAATTTTCCTATATATTTCTATGTAAAACTTTGGTGGGCCATTTTGGCCCCGCCCTACCCCCGGGGGTCATGATTTGAACAAACTTGAATCTACACTACCTGAGGATGCCTCCATATATATATGATGAATTATGGCTTGATCATTCTTGAGAAGAAGATTTTTAAAGAATTTTCCTATATATTTATATGTAAAACTTTGGTGGGCCATTTTGGCCCCGCCCTACCCCCGGGGGTCATGATTTGAACAAACTTGAATCCACACTACCTGAGGATGTTTCCCCATAAGTTTCATCTTTCCTGGCACAGTGGTTCTTGAGAAGAAGATTTTTAAAACATGCCACCAAATTTTCATTAATTGCCAATTATCTTCCCTTGAATGAGGGCGTGGCCCTTCATTTGAACAAACTTGAATCCCCTTCACCCAAGGATGCTTTGTGGCAAGTTTGGTTGAAATTGGCCCAGCGGTTCTTGAGAAGAAGTCGAAAATGTGAAAAGTTTACAGACAGACAGACGGACAGACAGACAGACAGACGGACGCCGGACAAAATGTGACCAGAAAAGCTCACTTGAGCCTTCGGCTCAGGTGAGCTAAAAAACATGCATAATTACATGTAGTTAATGTTAAGTGGGAAAACAATATATATTAGCAATATAAAGATGTATGGCTATTTAAGAAATCGTTTATTAGTTGTATTACTCTCAGGTATCCATAAAGATCCCGGGGTCTCTTGTTCATCCTTGTTTTAATGAATATACTTCCATTTTAATTACAGGCTTGGTAGCATTGATTCTGTCTTTATCACAGTCAACTTCTAGATCTTGAAAATTTGGAAACAAATGTCAAAGTAGAATTGCAGATAACTAAAGAATCAGTACAGGAGTCGATGCAAGACTGCCAGGACACAATGTCTTCAGCAGTTTCACAAGCTAAATCGTTGATATAAAAATTAAATCAGAAAGTAAATGGAATCACAGGAGTTCGCGTACCTATCAATTTTGCCGAAATTTTCGGTAATTAAAAAAGATACGTAATACCTATAATAATAACACAAGGAGTGCAACCGTTGTCCGCGAAGCCATGAAGTGACGTCACGGGCGGTCCATTTACCCAAAAGGAAAAAAAAAACAATCATGCACAATTAACTAGAGATAACAATATTACGTTTAGATACGAGTACAAGTACTTGTACCTCCCCGTTTTAAATTTTCTTGAATGTCTAGTAACTTGTCTCTTGTTTCTTTTCGCATATGACCTCAATCATATAAATTAGTATTTCAGGCAATTTTGTTCCTTTTTGGGTAAATGGACGCGCCCGTGACGTCACGTCATGGCGTCGCGGACAACGGATATTTGAGCGAACTTGTGGAGAAATGTCACCGCTGCTGCTGTAAAACATGCGTTTGAAATCATATGCATTAAGAGCCATAAAGAATGGTCCCTTCCAAAAAGATTGGTTTATGTTTTATAATTTTCGATTGAAGATTAATTGTGCGACAGCCTTGATATCAAGCGAGGGTTTCCCAGGTGACCTAAAATGCGTTGCACTCCTTGTGTTATTATTCTACGTATTACCAATTTTTTTTTATTTAATGAAATTTTCGGTATAATTGATAGGTTCGCGAACTTCTGTGATGGAATAAATTTGCTTCATGAGAAGTCCTTAGCTGTAAAGGAAGACAACTGTATTTCCTCCGAATTCATGGAACTATTAAAGTGCAAAGTATGTACAAACATCCCCCAAGAATACCACAATAAGTGTCTCTTGTTGTGATGTGCTGAAGATATTAATATCATAAATCATTCTCAATCGGATGATGATGGTCAGTCCGGGAAAGTGTAATAAGTATGAACAGGGAATTCCTTGCTCATTTTTTGCAATGAATACTCCTTCTGCATACTTAATTATATACTTAATTTCTCTATTCAATTTCTCTCTCTGTTTGAGGTGGAATTTTACACCTGGTTTTCTAGCTCCAGATTACATCTCTCGACATCCTCTATAATCTCATGCCTGCTATTCTTCTTTCGACCATTTCACTAATAATTTTGTTTAGTTATATAACAATTAAAGACCGAGATTTTAAGCACCGCCCTCAAAAATAGCCCTGTCAATCAAGTACATGAAGGTCCATCTTTGGATGCTGGAACTTGAATGACATTTACTTACTGGTCCCTGTGTATACCTTGTACACCTTGTTTGGGACTCGTGGGGGCCTTCAAATTAACTGTTGATTCGTTGATGTTTACCGAACATGGTATAGTGAAAATTTGCTATGAACATTTTTTTTGATAATATAAGAATTAAATACACCTTTAGTATTTGAAAGGATTATAATATAATAATGTAAATTACTAAACAGTGCTGGCATAAACTTTTCTTTTTCGAATCATCTATTGGCAAAAAAGTGTTGTAAATTACCAGTATCCTATATTTAACTCAACTCAACCGCACGCCCTTAAAGCTTTAGGAGGCATTTGGCCAATTTGTATCAAATCACTTAATTGAAGGCTTGCGTTTGCATGTTTACACAAATCTAACATAATAACACTGTATTTTATCTTTTTCACACTCACATTTCTCTATCTTCTTCGAAGCAATGTTAAAATAAACTAAATTGCGAGCATAGAAATGAATGTACCGATTGCAATATCATTTAACAGTTAACGTAACTAGTGCCTTCTCGTGTTCTTCCGAATCTTTGCCATACAAGTTTATAAATATAACTATTAGGTATATTAAGTACGCTATCGAACTATTACTCTAATAATTACAATTCTGTTAGAACTTCTCATTTCATTTCAGCAGATCGTACTTTGACTCGAAATTTAGACGTTTATAAATTATAATGGATTTTAAACCAAAATATCAGAAGCGTTCAGTTAATGTAAGTGGCGTAACAGCGTGATTTTGTGGTAAAAAGCGGTAGAATTACGCCAAAAGCGGAAGGGAAGGCAGGTCTTGCCAGGAGCTAAAAAATAGAGAAACCTCTGATGAGTTTGAGGGAAACCGCATTGTTGACATAAGATAGGTCTTTGAAATGTTTAATGATGCAGCCAAAAGCCATTTTGACAAGTCCAAGCACTGCAATTTTCCAGTGTGGGAATACTTGGGATAGAGGAAATGAGGGTTTGGATGGCATGAGATTACTGTGTACAGTGCGTTATTTTCAGACAAATTACTGTAAATTATACACTAAAATTCCTACCTATAACAAACCAGGCCCTTACCCTGCCAGTATCAACTGGAACTTTCAATTAGCCCTGCAGAACACCTCCATGGGGAATCGACGCAGTCGGGAAATGGTTGCTGTCTTGGACATTCCTCCTCCTTAACGCAGCTCCATGCAAATGACCAGCAACCAGGTCAACGCAGCCACTTTCGACCTGAATAAAAAAATGGGTAAGAAGAGACAACTGATTAAGGCCATCAACCAGGACAAAGGTCAAGAACATCCAGACTGAGGTACTGGACATTGCCATAGATGGACGCTACAACTCGATAACCTTCGGTAGCAGCAAAAAGCCAGGCTACAATGCATCACATGCTTACGCCATTGCATGCAAGATAAACGCCAACAAACAGTATATACTTGGTGCAATAAGGCAGAATACACTTTGCTGAACCGGAACCTGGCTTTGAGGTAATGATTATGATGTTCCTTGTCCGGGGGTTATGAAGACTGCACGGCTTTATGAACTGTTCTCAACTCTTTCAGAGAACGAAATGGCTAAATCTATAGACGAAGATCTGGCACCCGACAGGTTCAAGGTGAACCACGCCACAACAGACGATGATGCCCCGTCAACCCTGGGATTCAGAAATGCCATTCGCATTTTTCATCCGACTGGCAAGTTACTCGACCGGTGGACCTTACCTATGTCTGTAGAGCCCAGTTCCGACAGTGTCACAGTGCCCACTTCAGTCCCGAGATGTTTTACTGCAAAACAAGAATGAGGTTGGACCACAGGAGAAAAGTTTTTGCACAAGATGTAAGGGTTCGGTGCATCTAAGTCTACAAGAAACTCATACATACTTACACTGGAGACATCAACTTAATCTGTGGTAAACTTCCTCATATTATAGAACGTACTATCCCCTGCTACTCCAGAGACTGTTCCTAATGTAGGAATTCAGTTGTATGTGAGGGTGGATACAGACATAACTGGTGGATTTAGTCTTATTTCCTCACCCAAACAAACTGACATTCCTATCCCTGCACCTGAATGAAGATGACAAACACTCGACCTAGATATTCATCTGATATATCTGTATACCGAATTTTATTTCAGTATGTACAACGGTTGCGAAGAAAATGAACGGAAACTGCAAATAATTGGAATTTTTCTAAGTCTAAGGGGCATAACTCTGTCAAAAATGATGCGGCTATACCATATTCATCTGATATATCTTGTATACCAAATTTCACTTCAGTATGTTAAACGGTTGCAAAGAAAATGAACGGAAACTAAGTGGACCGACAGACAGCAGCAAAGCAATATGCCCTCCCTTCTTCGAGGCGGGGCTTAAAAATGCATTGCCCAGGAATACACTTATCGCAGAGAATACAGGAGAGCGGCAGTTTTTGTGCAGAGGCAACGAGTGTTTTATTGTACGAGTTGTTTGAATTAATAGTTAAGTTGCACCTAAACCGAGTCGTCTTACCACTACCTACGCGTTAACCAAAACTAGGTCATTTAGTACAATTGTATACAAGGTTTTCCTATGTGATTTAAGGTTGTGTTTTCCTCAGTGTACAAAATTCTATAAATTTCAATTTAATGCCTGAATTTTGTATAAGAGATTGATTTGTTTACAATAATGGTGAAACTTGAAATAATTTCCTAAGTAAATAGAATACAATATGGGATGTGTAGCTGTTTAAATATTTTAGCTAACACAATATAATTTCACCGAAAACTACTGATCTTCAATTAATTTACCAGAGATCTCGGTGAAATAATTGGTGTCAATTGTTAAATCCCAAAGAAAACCAAAGCAATTAATTAATTACCAGATCTCCACGCGCTCGTCTCAATTGCTCCTCTGACATCTTCAAAACCAACAAGTCTACAGCTAATTATAGAAATTGACCCCCCTTTTATACCAGGTCATCCCAAAATGACAGTTACAAATTGGAGATTAATAGAGATGCTGGCTCGCAAGCTCCCCCTCCCAGACAGAACCCTGCTGTGCCTTAAGAAGTTGGGAAGCAAAACAAATTTACAATCAAACATTAAACAATCATTTACATAGCAATTCACTACTGCTTGATTCATTTTATCACTGAATGTTGAATTGATAAAATACTAATTGAATCATAAAATTATTATGATGATTATTCTAAATTTTATAACATAACCCCCCTTTTTGAAAAGTTTAGTCCCTAAACTAGCAATATCTACAGTAGTGAATCACTGTACAATTAAAAATATTTCAGATTATAGTGTCTCTTTAATGATTTACTCCATCATGTGCTGGCATCTGCACATTTCAAGTCTCTTTTTCACCACGCTTTCTAATTCCACAAGTCCATAAAATTTACACTCCACCATAATAGCTGCTAGGGCACTTCTCTCATCGGGTAGAACTCTGACATCTATTTCTCCATTGTTTCTAAGATAATTCAAAATTATTCCAAAATGCTTCGGATCTCTGTCAACAAAGTATGACGGCACATTTCCCGATGACTTCAAGCTGATTAGTTTGGAAAGCTTTGATGGTATTTGATTTACAGTCCCTCTAGTTGTTTTGAACTTATAACCCCCTATATCCAGTTGAATAATGTCGTTCTGCATTCTTTCCAATCCGTCTAAGATCTTAATGTCCTCCTCTTCTCTCTCAAATTGACCATCTGCGTCGATTGAAATTTCGTCATAATCCCTGTGTCCCAAAGGTGATCTTGATCTTGACCTTGAAGTTGTTGACGGCATTGGCCTTGGACTAGTGATGCGTGTTATCTGTAACGGAAGAATTTCCTTGTACCATTTGTCCATTTCCTCTTTCGCTGCTTTTCCTGATATGCGGTTGTTTATATTCACTATCATAGTTGGGAATCCCCTTCGGCACTTTCCGTGTTCTTGATCTTTACGGGAAAGCGTTGTTCCACAGTCTTGGCATTTGAACTTAAATCCACTGTGCTGCTCTTGCACGTGTCTGTTTGCAGCATACAGACTCTCTGACCTAAACTTCTCACAAATATTACACACAAAGCTGGTCACCTAAAAAGAAATTTCATACTTTTGAAATCAACATGATAAAATAATAAAAAAAAATAATTACATTTGTAATATATAGCCCTATCACTAGTATAACTGGAAATCACTATATTGCTGGGGAACTTTGACACTTCTCTTAGGACGCTGATCACGATTCACATTATTTTCTACTCTAGCCGCACTTCTAGAATCACTTTCACATTGCACACATTGCACACTTGAGTCAGTACACCATAATTCATTTCCCTTATCGTGTAAAACATCACCATCGGATGCATCCTCATTTGAAATAACTATTCCATCATCACTATTAATATCCATCCCGTTTTCTCCCAAATGAATATTTCCTCCATCACAAGCAACGGTTTTACTTCTCACTTTATCCCTATCAACTTCATTAACTTCCCAGTTTGGTCTGTTTTCTCCTTGATATGGTTTCAACCTATCAGAATGCACAACTTTCGGTTTTGATCTTGGAGACTCTTGTATCCTGTATGTCACATCACTAATTTTCTTAACAATAAGAAATGGTCCAATCCATTGATGTCGCAATTTTTTAGACAACCCCTTCTTTTTCGTAGGATCATGTAACCACACAGCATCACCCATACTATATTCGTGAAAATTGATATTTTTGTCATATCTCTTTTTCATTGTATCTGCAGTGATTTTTAGATTTTCTCTGGCATAATCATGCACACATGTCATTTGTTCAGATAGTTGAAATGCATAATCCGACTTTAATTGTTTCTGTTTTTCGTGTTGAACTTCGCCAAATATTAAATCAATTGGTAAAGTTATTTCCCTTCCAAGCATCATGTACGAAGGTGACACTTTTGTTGCTTCATGCACAGAGGATCTGTAAGCCATCATCACAACTGATAAAAACATGTCCCAATCTCTTTGCATAGGATCTATGAAAGCTGTTAACATATTTTGAATTGTTTGATTTGCACGTTCAACCATACCGTCTGATTTAGGTCGAAATGGCGTAGTTCTTGTTTTCTCCATATTCAACAATTCACAAATTTCCTTAAACAGTCCTGATTCAAAATTTGTTCCTTGGTCAGAATGAATTTCTTTAGGAACACCAAAGACACTAATGAATCGATCAATTAGAGCAGATGCAACAGTCGCTGCTTCCTGGTCACGTAATGGCACTGCTTCAGTCCATTTCGTGAAATAATCAGCTATCACTAGAATGTACCGATTTCCCTTTTCAATTTCAGGTAGAGGGCCGATTATGTCTATCGCTATTCTTTCCATTGGAGCTCCTACAACATATTTCTTCATTGGTCCTTGATAATGTTTCACGGGTCTCTTTCTCGCAGCACACACATCGCAGATTTTACACATGTGTTGAATATCCTTCCTCATATTAAACCAATAGAACCTACATTTCACTCTTTCCAAAGTTTTGTTAATGCATCAATAAAATGATCCTAAGCGAGAACATCGAGTAAATTTGAAGAAGCATTCGGGTATGCTTGTCGTGTCAATTTCCTTATCGTCTGTGCAAGTCTGTTTACAATGATATTTCAACTTTCTAGGCCTTGCTACACATTTTTCTGCTGTAATCTTTTGTCGCCTTTCTAAATAATTTTTTTTCTTTTTTCACATTTCGGTACATACAGAAAATACAACCACCGTCATGTATATCAGAGATGAACCTTGTCTTTGAAGACAGATTTAAGTCACAGTTTTCATCAAATTTTAATTTGACCCTAGACAGCGATACCCACTCCTGCAGACTGGGGCCTTGTTATCTTAACACAATTATTTTTTGAAAATATAGATTCTTGTTACAAGGATATTCATATTCATTACTTCAGTAGCTTTAATATCTTCCCCATACCATTTCCCCAGTTAATCACTTACGACGCATTGTTTTTGAACTTTTTTTTCAATACCAATTTCTTCCAGTTCCATTCCCCCCCCCCCCCCCCCCCCCCCCCCCTAGTCCGAAAAATCTGACGTTTTTCTGGCTTTTTTACGATTTTGATATTTTACATGCCAGGAAAATGTCAGAACCGGCGCCATTACGAAAACTGGGAAATTGCCCCCTCCAATTGGAGGTGGCATTCAGAGGTTGATTTTCGATACTTGTAAACCGAATTAATTGATTGAAACCAGAAATATTATACATTCAAGGACTACCCCCCCCCCCATACAAAACTACATTACATATTCATATACTGTTCGCGGCGTAAAAACAAAAATAAATCTGTGCTTGCATTCTATGAGCTGTTTGTGAAATTTAGAGTTTTCATGAGGTACGTTCAAGATACTAAACTTTGAGATAATCCACATTATAATAACAATTTACATGTGGTCTGAAAAACTGATTAATTAATTATACCATTAATATTTGATGATCGTCATTTAAAGTCACACTCGTCGTTTAAAGATACATTTTCCCCCTTTGGTATGATTTAGACAAATCACGTATCGGCACATATAACCATACAGTTACAGATTAATGCTTGTGGGTTGTCAATGTTGTTATTAAAGATTAAAAGTTTTTGTCATGTACACCTTTCGTTCCTGTACGTTGGACATACCCATGAAGACATCGACGCAAGTTTTTCTGTTATTTAAATTTCAAAAAGTGTTATGGATATCATCCAAAATTTCCCCTGATTATTGCTTTTTTGCAATCTCTTGTAAATATTAATTGTTTAGAAATTATATAATTTTTAAACAGCAACAGCAAAAGATAGTTAAAAAGAAGACGGCTGCCATAATATCGCACTTAAAAAATAGTGAATTCTGTAAACTTTGGTCAGAAAAAGGATATGAGTTTTCCAAACAGAGAATCCAATAAATAAATTATTGAAATGGGAAGTTAAAATTCCTGCATATTGCATTTAATTAACAGAATTCAGTTCACTTAATTTCAAAACTCGAATATCCTTCAAAGGCAATGCATGT